GTTACAACCGGCTTCAAAAAGTATTGAATTCTTATGAACTTTTGTATTATCTGCGTGTATGTGCGTGTTTTTAATGGAATAGTTTTAAATTATAATTTAACTTACGTAATACTTCATATTATAAGTAGGACTTTTAATTGAGTTTATTCTTTTACAAAAGCGACTCAATTTGTCCAGAAATTCAATATTTAATTATATAATCTTCCGTCACTGGCGTTGCTGTATAATATTCTTCGCCTCCTGATGCATTGCATATTAGATCCCATGACCTCACCTGGTGGACACGACGCCTTATCTGAGAAAAAGTACATTATAAATTATGATAATCCAATTCAAATTAATTATTATGTAGGTATGTAAATAAAATAAAATCATGGTTTAAACACAGTGATCAGCATGCTCGGTCTGCGATACGGTCGGTAAGCAACTTTCGCTATGACCGGTGATAGGATGGACCAAAAATTTAATATCTCAAGCTCCTCCGTGCTTCACAAGGTACGTAGCTCTTTGGTCCTGACATCCCTGACGTTGGCACTGGACCCGCGTGGTGGGTCATGGTCCATTCTCCCTATTCGATTTGCTCGATGCCTTCCGTAGAGAAGGGCTAAGCCCCAGCAGTGGGGACGTTAATAAGCTGGTGATGATAATGATAAAATATATTATAAGTATACTATACATAAAAGCTTAGTCAAATAAATATGTGTCCCACTCAAGTGGTTAAATCAAAAGCAAATTGGAAGGCTAGTCCTTTAATTGAATGGCGTTCAATTCCATTCAATTGCATGGCTAACCGTCGACCATGTTCTGCTATACGGCTGAACAAATGTCAGCCACTTAACTGTAAATTCGTTCGGGTTACTGCAATTTATTGCTAGAATTAGAAATAAAACAAAATAAATAGTTTATTGGTAATTGCTTGACTGTTTATTCTCGAGTTTAGAGATGAACATAAATTTTACAATAAATATTTGCATAAAAACATAACGATAGTATTGTTTTTTCTTTAGATACGCAAAAATTCACTTTTATCTGATGTTTTATGAACTTTTGACAATTGTTTTTGTTTTAAAAACTGACATTTGAATTGATAGAAAATCTAAGTTACTTTGGTCCTGTACGTCACGTGATAGGTTACAAAGAACAATGGCGAACTCCCATATAGTTTTGGACCTGAATTTTTAAAGTCCCGTTCATGAATGATATAAACGTGTACTTGAAGGTATAAGATAAACTAACAAAATCCTAATCGTATTTTTCCTTTAAAAGTTGGGATTAAAAAGATATGGCATAAAATACTTTGTGAGGTTATATATTGCTTCTTTGCTTTTTCGTTGAATGGACGTTAAAATAAATAAAAATGGTAAGCAGGTTACTCCGTTAAATAAACTAGATTAAAATAATTACATATCTAACAAGATCCAGATCCTTATAATAGAAGAAACATTTATAACATACGACTAGACTGTGTGGAGTAGATCCTTTTGCCTTTAAATTAATTATTACAACTGAAAGTGTACGTAATTAGAAAGAATAAAATAAATATTTATGAAAGATTCAAAGACCGTATTTCATATAATATAACATTAAGTTTTTTTATTGAATATATATTTGACGTTCATTCGCTTAGTCTGTACGCATCGTTACATCACATATCGACGGCGAAGTGCCAATACCTCCTATCTAACATTTTTCGAGAAAATGACTTTTTTATTTCATTGACGTTAAGGTCGTTTTCCACATGGGTTCATGAAATCACCTATCCGTATTTTTTACGACAACTGGAGAAAAATGAATGTGGAAATAGCTTCTAACTAAATTAGCGTATATAATTTATGGCAATTTCTCCTATCTACGTACAAGACTACTACATCTCAACGCGGAACATTGCCGATTAACTTTTCACAGCGGCTGCCGCGCCGCGGCTCGTGATATGGGTGAAGTTAGCGGTAGGGTTGCGTCACGTCACTTGCGAGGGTGTAATATCAATCGTATGTACATGGCTAGTATGTACAGGATTACCAGCATGGAGGCGAAGACATAGCTGTCAGGTAATTTGAGGTACCTGAAGGACTCAATATGCAATATACCAATCCTGGGGATGCCTACTGACACCATGCCCCCGAGATCGATTCACACAGGTCATATCTTGTGGAGATACCCACCAGGGACGACTGGTCAAACAATCGTATAGTATGGAAAAATGGAAGCCTAAAGTGGTACACTGACGGCTCCAAATCCGGTCCTGAGGTAGGATGTGGAATTCATGGAGAAGCCCCAAGGAAGGCTATAAGTCTGAACATGGGAAAGTACTCCTCAATATTCCAGGCAGAGGTGTACGCCATTTTGGAATGTGCGGCAGCCAATCTGCAAAATAACTACCTCAATCATACTATCTACATCCACTCTGATAGTCAAGCTGCACTCTTAGCACTAGCTTCCGACATAACTAGATCGAAGCTGGTAGAGAACTGCAAACAGACATTGAACTCTTTGGGCAACAACAACAAAGTAGTTCTACGATGGGTTCCAGGTCACGCTGGACACGAGGGCAATAAACAGGCGGACAAACTGGCGAAGAAGGGTGCTAAAGACGCCCTTATCGGACCAGAACCTTTCTGTGGCATCCCTCAAAGCCTAACCCAGCTCACCTTGAAAACATACTGCCACTACGCAGCTATTCAACTATGGAGAAACACTCCCGGTATGAAACACTCTAAGACCCTGATTAAAACCTTCAACAAAAAGGCGGCATCAGAGGCCTTAAACTTAACCAAAAATCACCTTCGCACACTAGTACGAGCACTCACAGGGCATTGTGGACTGAACAGACACATGTACAATATGGGGATCAGCGGCAGTAGAATGTGCAGAGGATGCAAGGAGGAAGAAGAAACACCTTTGCACATTTTGACCGATTGCCCGTCACTAATGCGAAAACGATGTATCTATCTGGGAAAGCACGTGATGCACCCAGACGATATTAAAGAACTTACGGCCAAGAAAATACTACAGTTCCTTGTAGAATGTAATCTTGACCGTGAACTGTAGTATGTGGAGATCACAATAGATCAGCAATGGTCGCAGTGATACTGGGCTGCATAAACCCAAGATAATCCGCAACTCGAAACAATACAACAATATCAATCGTAAAAGCAATTTTTCAAAGTAATTATTGTTTTAATTAAAATCAATACCTTCTATCGTACAATTTATTTAATGAAATCACTGAGGATGTTAAACCAATACCTTCTATCTAACCAAATACCTACTAAACGATTATTAATCAAATTAATATTTTATTGAAACCTAAGCCTGTCATATTGATATGTGCTCCATATAAATTGATTTCTTGATTTTAACGTTTTCAAGAAATTAAACATTTTTTTCACTTTGTGTAAAATTTTGTCTATGTTAGTTAGAAGGTATTGGCACTTCGCCGTCGATATCTCACTTATTATTAGCAGTAAATGACGACAGATAATATTCTACAGACCATGTTTGAAAAACTCGCGATTAATTGGGAATCGCTTCTGACATCGTTAATGTATGTGATCGATTTTTCAAAAACGTGTGGTTTTCAAATAAAGACAACAGAATCTATTCTATACAATCTTATTTTTAACTTATATTCGATTATTAAGCCTATTAATGGTACTGCAACAAAATTAATTGCAATTTACAGGAAACGATAATATCCATTAAAATAGGTGACCCTTTTATTGCCTGGCGCAAAATTCATGAAACACTTCCAAGATATAATTTTTTTTATTAAAGCACTTCTGCGTAGACCAGAACGTTTCTTAAGAAGATTTTCGCGTTTTGTTTTCGCACTATCATTAGACGTTTTGTTATCTTAATAATTTTATTAGCAGCATTTAATATTTTAGTTTGGTTCCCCGACATTAAAATCCACCATTTTGTAGAAATAAAATCTTTTAATCATATATTATTTATTTGTCATATTGCCATCCATGTACGGTTTTGAAAATTATGGGGTCTGATTTCGCCATTCTTCTTTAAACCGATCGCGAAGTGTAGCGCAGATATTGTCTTAAATTTCGAAGTTTTATAACAGATACCAAAAAAGTTATAGAATTAACAAAGTTATTTTAGCCCTATAATCACGTGATAGTTTAGAATTTTAAAAATCAAAGACTAACAATATTAGGAAAACTAATATGGCATTTTTTGCACAAACACTAAAAAAATAATATAACCCACTAATTAGGGTTCGCAAGAATTCGTGGATCATAATCTGAAAAAGATTTTTTATGGTGTAAACGTTAAAGTAACGTTTTGAATCTAGTAATATAGAGTACATGAGAAATTCAAAAAAGTAACGTAAAATGTTTCAAAAGTAACATTCTTCCAACTCTGGTTGAATAAAAGTTTGTAAACAAAGCGAAGCTAGTACCACGTTAGCGAAGGAGTAAACTAAATGAACGTTTTAGCAATTTTTAAATCAGCCATCTTGTTGAACGGTTAAATCAGCGGCATTCAATTGTAAGAACTTGGTTGCGACATACTTATATATAGTCAGCTATCAATATGGTATTTATGACAATCATTCCTCTTAGTTTTATTTTTTATCAATTCTTACATCAATTAGTGACAATTTGTATTTTATTTCTTGAAATTATGTTGACAGCTTTATATTTCTTTTTAAAAATGACTTGTAATATTTGCACGTCGTCCTGACGACAAAATATGCTGGGTATTCGAAAATTGATAACAACTTATAAGACCATATTTTTGCAAATAAAGATTTTATTATTATTATTATTACATACATTTCAATTACTTACTATTAGACAAAATAATCCAGCTGGACTAAAGTTTTGTGTTTAGCAAAGCATTTATTGATTTTTTAAATTTCAGTGTATAAAATAAGGCCTTGAATTTTTTTTAACAAAAAATTAAAAAAAATAAAAATTCTGATATAAAAAATTTATTAGTTTACAAAAATAAAATATAAGCCTTGTGCTGTGTTATCAATATTTTTATCCACTTATAAATCCTATATTAACATTTGGTACACAAGAAAATAATATGGGGACTCCACAATCATTAACATTTCCTGGATACACTGCAACTGATGAAGATTTTTCATTACCATAACTACGAGACCTTGCAAGCGGTACTTCCATCGTTGGAAGAATATTATCCATATTGGCGTCATGTGCAAGCTGTTTCATAAATTCTTCCATGTCATCGTCATCCCTTGTAACTCTGGATGTTAAATGATAGAACTGAGGATCAAACCGTTTCGTACCTACTATATCTTGTCTGTTAACCAAAACCTTAGGTAATCTTGTGATAGGAGGCATAGGATTCAATTCAGCTAATAATTTCGGATCAGCGGAAAGTTGCATATCCTTACTGAAATGTGTAAATGTTACAATTTTTTGTGCATTATTTAATCCATCTACTTGGTAGGGTGACCTTGACCAATGTATATCTTCGCTTACTCCTAAACCATTCGCAGTCTTCGGTGGTCGTGGCGGATTTGAGACTCCAATATGTTCTCCACTCTCGTATGCCACACACTCCCTTGTTGATGAATCGCATATCCTTTGTTTATCAGTAGAGGTTGTAGAATTTACATTTTTATTTGTTCCAATATTTCCATTATTAAATGTTAAGTTCCTATAAAGATAATCTTTAGGACGACTTGTTATAAGACTTACATTAATTACTATGATAAATATCACAATGTGTCTCATTATAAAATTGTGTAGAAAAGCGCAGTGTATTACGTCTGCGATGCGCTATTGTAAATTTAGTCTACGGATTAAAATAACTTCTTATAGTGTGTACAAAATACTTGTGTTCGTAAGTAGATTGCTGACAAAGCTTTAAGAAGTATTCAGGCTAATACCAATTGTGTTTACTAGTTATTTTTATTAAAATTAAAACATGATTGGTTCAATCACTTGGCTCTTGGTTCATCTTTATTAATATTATTTTACTATTTCAAACCAATAATAGTTTTAAAACATTTTACTTTAAAAGCTTTTAACTTTTAAGATAATATGAGGAAAATCGCTATTATTTATATACCTATTATTAACAATAAACAATTTGAGTTATGTAAAACAAATAATGGCCTTTATGAGGTCACTTTCCATCACAATATTAAAAAATATGATCTTACAATGTTAAAATAAGTGACTCAATAATTCAATCATCCAACAAAAATGGTGGAATACTTTAGTACAAATATTCCTATGAGGTGTACTTTTAATATTTTGCTTTATTAAAAAGAATTAATTTAATAGTAGATTGAAATTTATTTTTTTAACTATTGCTTGTCTGTCTGTCGCGTAGATTATCATAGAATATTAAAAACTTGATATTAAATTTTTTGCATAATCTATAAATTACGGCGATACATTGAGTTCAAATTTCGCATGACATCACATCTTTATACATTTTCTACATAATTGTGACGTAGCTAACCCCTTATTACCTAAGCCATTTTTTGTTAAATCGAAAATATACGTATATAATATTTTTGTAAAATGTGAGAGACAAACTAAAAAAAGGCTTTTTTAACAAAACCCAAAGCAATAGTAATGATTTTTTGTCATTGTTTTGGTTTTACGTCATGTTACGTACTAAAGATTAGTGACGTAAATCTAGACGTATTTCCATACCTATAAGTATAGAGAAAAGTTGTATTTAAGTGCTCATAAATCATTTATTTATTTTATTTGGGTCTACGGAAATAGGTGTGCAACGTCTTTTTTTAAAAAGTGCTCCATACGTATGCTTCTCTCTTTTTGTTTTCTGAATTTATTGTTAGTACCTTTAGAGTACCTCCAGGCATCAGATAATTAATATCTTCAGTTGGATTCATTCGCTTGAAATATTTTTATTGCAATTTGGATGTGATTAAAAGCTATTGTAATTGTTGTTGTAATTGTTGAGATTTCACGTCATGTCATTCATATATATATTTTTGATTAGATAATTCTAACTTAAAATACTAATAGCAAAAAAAATAGAATTCTGTTGTGTGTATGGTTGCGTAATAGTTAGTCACCCCGATTACAAAAGGTTGTGGGTTCGAGCCCCATCTCAGGCTACCCGGTTGTTTTAAGCGTTTTTGTTTTATTAAATATTTCATTAAAATTTAAAACTAATGGTAACTTTTGAGTATTTTAAAACGAAGGGCCGAGCAATGAAGAGTGACAGTACCTGATCAAGTAGATTGCTTGGAACTTGGGACATTAAAGAAGTGCATACAAAGACCCAGCCTTTAAAACACGTGTGACGAATTTTGTAAATGCATATATGTAAGAATGTATGTTTGGCCACAATTGTCGCAAACTAGACATTGAATTAGAATTGTCGCAAACTAGACATTGAATTACAATTACTGAATTAGCTTTCAATTTAGGAAAAAGAAAATATAGATTAAAATTTTTATTTATTTTAATCTTATTTTAGGTGGGATGTTTTTCAACCAATAATTGGATCTAGTTAAAAACTATTTATCAAATACAAGAATTATTGACTGACTCCAATAATTAAATATCTTTGTTTAAAAAAATCTTCATTTCAACGTGATAATTACGGGCAACTAATTAAAATCAATAGTTATGAGTTATAATGCTTTATTTGTGATGCGGTAAGGGTAAAAAAATAAAAAGTAATACATTTCTCGATGACTCCAAGAATCCCATTAAGCTAAGGTCTCCAAAATTTTCGTATTCTTCTTTACCATAACGTGATTCATTTTACTTTTTGTAGTGTTCTTGCTAGTTTTAATAACGTCACGCTTTTTCTTGAATTTCAAATCATCACTATCTCTGTAAGCAGGTGCGGCATAACCTGAGTGAGATTTAGCCAGACTACCTGGTACTACTGTTGGGGAGCAACCGAGAAGCAACGGAATGGCACAACCACCAACTTTGGCATTTGGAAAAATACCAAGAGCACCCGATCCTCCAGCACCTACTAAATCAAGACCACTTGCCCCAGCTAAGTTTAATCCACCAGCAGAGTAAGCAGGTGGTCCATATGAAGATCTAGCAAGGTCATGATGTTTCCATTGAGACATACTATCCATCGCCGACTTTTCAGCAACATCCGACATACTCTGTTGATTACCTTCTTGCATGGGAGAATCCAAATCAGAAGACTTTCCGTGCATTCCGTGTTTCATACCTTTGCTATGTTGAATGTCAAATCCTATATGCATTTGATGTCCTGGCATATGCATACCATGTTCTTTCATATGCATCCCATATCCTGGCTTATACATACCAGATCCGTGCATGTTCTTCAAATCGTGTCCTTCAAAGTGCTTACCACCATGCATCTCGAACTCGTGACCTGGCATGTGCATATAATGACCAGACATATGCGGACTTTTTTTATGCATTGACAGATCGAACTCTGAATGTTTCATTTGGATTTCATGCTTTTCATTTTGCGTGGCTTCATTGTGCATATCAATTGCTTCTTTTTTAGTTCCCTTTAATAACGCTTCTTTTGTTTCTATATGTTTTTTATCTGTTTTGACCGGAACTATTTCAGTTTGTTTATCTAAAGTATGGTGGTCAGGAGTATTTTTTATTTCCATAGCTATATTCTTATGTTCTCCTATTTTCAGAACAGTGTCTCCGTGCTTTGTCTCTTCCAAGTTATTCTTTCCTTGCATATGATGCCCAGACGTGCCTTCCCAAACTTTTTTAGCTGCTTCATGTTCGTCGGTATTACGATTTTGCATATTTTGAGCATGTAAATTAAGAAGCTTATTTTCCAAACTTCTTAAAGATGGGTCTTTCATATGCTCAACGTGATCATGATTGTGATGCTTATCAATGGGAGCAGACAATGAATGTTTTTCAGTGTTTTTATCATTTTTCAATTCGGGATTAGAATTGTGATTCACATGTAGACCATGACTTTGGACATTAAGTGACATATCAGCTGACTTTCCTATTTTTGCTGTTGAAATATGCTCGACAGGATTCTTTATCTGTTCTGATGCAGCTGCTGTCATTTCAAGATTATGTTTCTCACTGGTACGCTTCTCTAAAGTCTTGTGGTGGTCAAATTTAAAATTTTTATCATCATCAGCACGTTTGTTGATTGTGGCACCACCTCTAGCTATTTTATCATGGTTTTTCTGTCCTGCGTCATGACTTCTCATCAGTTTTGTTGTATCTACAACTTCAGACATTCGCCAATTATTGGCAGATTTGAAACTATCTTCAATATTACTTGCTAATTCAACATTCTTCTGTATATTCTCCATAGCTTCCTTCCATTGAGCTAATCTTTCTTCTTCAGTATTACCTTTGTTCATATCGTTGAAAGCATTCTTATCCTTTATTGTTGTTGCTCGTAAACTCATTGATTCTAATTTTCCTACCCGTCCCTGCACATTTTGCAAAGCTTGTCTTACAGCTTCTATATTTTGATGCATACTTGTATCTAGATCGGATTGTCCATGTTTCCAATTGCCGTTTTGTTCCAATTTTTGCATATTTTGCTCTAAGGTCTGAATTGCTTCTTTTGCCACTTGCAAACTGCTTTCGACGTCGTTGTTAGGATTTCCAACAAATTGCTCATTCAAAGCTGCTCTCATATTGCTTGACTTGTCAATGTTGTGGGAATTACATAACTTAAATCTCATATGACTTCCACAATTTTCCTGGGGATCAGCAGCAGCGCGTTCTTCATCAGAGTCTCGATAGTAATGGTAGCCAGTTTTTTTCTTGACTAAAATCGGAACTTTGAAACCAAAGTGGCTTCTAGCAGAAGGAACCGGGGCTTCGTTTTCACTGTCGAAGACATCTGGTAGCGATTCAAGCGCAGATGTTTGTGAGAAAAGCGATTCGTCGTCCTGCGGAGACTTCTTTTCTCTTTTGATAAATTCTGGTTTCTTGCTTGCCATCATCTTGGTGCCCTCATGTTGAGTTGCGGGAGCCGCTAACGCAAGACTCGCCAAAGAAAATATCACCACTAACGTCTTCATGGTGATTTGGTGTAAGATCGTTTGATGCTTGTATGATAATTTACGTAGTATTTATACTAATTATGTACAAGAAAAATCTTCTACATGATGTTGAACGGAACGTGCCGATCGTAACGCGATAAAACTGCTTAGTGATATGTTTTATTTGTTCGGTATCCTGCATCACACAATTTGAAAATATTTAATCAATATATTAAATATTTACTTAATTATTATTATTGGAAGCATATATTTAACTCTAAAATTAACTTTTGTCTTTGATATATAACTAAAGCTTTAAACACTTGCAGTATAATAAAAAAATAAAAACAAACAACTACGACATCATGAAAATGAAATAGTTATCAATCTTTTTTTCTATATTGATTGAATCAAGTCGAATTCCATGCCCGAAGGTTACCTAAGCTCGTCTCATACCGCAATCGTATATTAAATTATTGTATTTATTTTTATTTCTTATTAACGATAAATTCTTTCTTGTTATTATTGTTGTTAAGCAAGTTTCTGAAGGCTCGGTCACGGGTGACCAAAAAATTACTATCTCGAGCTACTCCGTGCTTCGGAAGCAAGTTAAGCCATTAGCCCCGGCTGCATTTGTAGTCTTTAATACCCTCCAATCCGTATTGAGCCATTGGAATTTTGACGTGGAGGGTCATGACTGCCTGCAGTGGGAATGTAGAAGGGCTGTTGATGAGAAGAAGAACTTATTTAAAAAAATAGTGAAAAGTAGTATTGAAAAATTCAAATTATAGTGCTGAGGACTCGTAGCACAATAGTAAACTTAGTAAAAATCTAATATTATGTAAAACGTCTTTATAAGATACAAATAATTCCTTTTAACTATATTTTATTAATTTTACTAGTTTCATAATCGACGATAACCTAATTGGAACCATGGAAACTGAGATAATCTTAAAAAATCGTATTTACAACGCAGACTTTCATAACACTTGTCATCTCTCATACCGTGGTGCAAAATGAGCATGTGATAAAGAGATTTTCAAATATACTTTTCAGTGCACTAGACTTTATTAAATTTTACAATTGATAGCAAATCCTATTTTATATTTAAATAATTTGCAAAAGAAGACAAAAAGAATGGTATCGATTATATTTATCAAGGGAATATTTGTTAAGAGGCATTTTTATAGGATTTGATAGGATTCAAATTCTAGAAACCTGACCTTATCAATCAAGTCACTATTTGACGTCATTCAATTTGAACTGACGGCCGTAATCATGAAATCGGTAAGCTTATTTAAATACTTACGATAAATAGAAATAACGATATGTATCGAAAAGATGTATAGAAAAGACAATCGAAAAGATAACATCTAATTATTTATCGATATATATGTCTATATCTACGTTAGAGACGCGTTAATCGACATTGATATCTACATATATTGGTAGAGTCGGCGACACATCAGCATGCTACCATACATGCGGTCAGAAGGTAGGTCACATAGCCCTCCAATATCGTACATGACAAAATAAAAAAAATACAGAATGTAAATAGATGTGGGTCAGGGTGGCGAAATAATCACACGGTTCTTGAGTTTTACACAGGTATTTATTCGGGTAGAATTACCCCGTAACAAAATGAATATAAGAATGCCCAAATTCACCGTTACAGTCCCATTTTCATTCATTAGAAAAAACCCCCCGTTAGTACTTAAAGCATTGACAATCAAAATTAGTAACTATTAAATTCTAATTAACTCATCACTATCAACTTACGAGATTTTTATCGCTGTCAATAACATTTTAACTTTTAATTAAATATTAATCATGAAAATAAATTTATGGAGCCTTATTTTAACATTTTGAATTGTTAGCGGAAAGTCCATAGATGGAGTATGATGTCCCACCGGAAATGTCTTTAACAAGAATAAAAAATCAATTATTTGCCCCCAGCTTCGACGCATTTTAATATTTTTCTAACATTAATTTCTTAAGTGTGTGATTCCTACAATCGAAGTTTGCTACGATGATCTCCAGCCAAATGTACTATCGTCACCAGCCTGTTAATTTCCCCACTCCTGGATCACAGGTCTTTCCTATAGAATTAAATCGAATTAGGAGAATGGGCCATGACCCATGACATAGCTCTGATTGGTGGGTCAGTCGCTAAGACTGTAAATACAGCCGAGGACTAAGGGCTGCTTCCGAAGCAAGGAGAAGCTCGTGATAATATTTTTTTGGTCACCCATCCTATTACCGGCCATTACGAACGTTCCTCAACAACTGAATCGCAGACCAAGCGCGCTAACCACTGCCATATCTAGCCAAATATAAGGACTGTTGAAAATTCTGGCCGCTCTTTCTCTATGCTGGCAACTTTATGAGGTGCGTCATTAAAGAAATTATTTTTCTAAACTTGAGCGTTAAAAGTTCTCGGTCTTCTTAATATTTAGCCCCAAATACCCAGACGTTTCAAATATTATCACTCGATTTCCAAAAAAAAAGAAGAAAACTTCCATTTGTTTTCTAATGTGTGCAATAAAGTCTACTTTACTATATATATGTATTGGTGAACCCTCAAAAATTTCAGGCTGCTATTGCTCCTGCTACCATGTGGACTGGAGAAATCCAAATATTACTTTTCGCAGGTCGCTAGTGAGATACCGTCTTTTTTTTTCCACATAAAAACGAATCTCCATCATTGGCCAGATAGAACTCTTCTTGGGTATTAACATATTCTTTACCACACAGAGAATTGTTTATTACATTTATCTTAAAAATATTTGAAAAAATCATAACAAGTCGGACTTGAACTGATGACTCCTCCCGTTGCGAGTGAGTGCACTTCCAACTTTTTTCAAGTAATTTCCATTAATTTACATTAAAATAGCATTGAAAAAGCAAAATAACAATAATAAAAAGTGTTTTACACTTTAAATAGAAACCTTCCGGAAGCCAAGTTACGCTACAAAGCAATATCGGATGTAACTTGATAACAATAAGAAGGTAATACCTACTCATTTTTATCGAAGGTTATATTAGGAAACAAGCTGATTTCCACTTCGCCCGCGTAAATTTATAGGTGAAAGAATTTTTAAAATCACTTAGGTATCGGAATTTCACATGAAATGAAATGTTAATAAACCTATTTCCTATTTAAAAAAAAATCAAGTTGCCTGTAACTTAAAACAAATAAAAATTAATTATCTGTGTGACTTTCATTATGTATCTGTCGAATAAGTAATATTACTTCAACCTAATTTTAGAACTAGAAGTCAATCTTTTAGGCAATTAATAATAAGTATTATATTAATTTCGCGACACTATCAGTATTTTACATCATTGATACAACCGTTGATCTACCATGGAAAATAAAATTAAAAAAAAACGCGACACTATCAATAAAAGTTGCTCGACACGCGTGACGCTTATGTATAATTTCTATTTTATTATGTTAAAAATGTTTCCCTAACCCATGTGGCGTACCACGGGCATTATATTATTCAGGCTTAACATGTTTGAACTCTTGTAACACCATTTGTAACAAAAAGGTAAAAAAAAACCTTTACTTTATTGGGGGCTTTATAATCAATTGATAATAATTTATTATAACTTATAATAAATTAAAGTTCGTGTTAAAAATGTGAGAAATTAAAATGTGAAAATAATAGTTAAAAAATGGTATTAGAATGGTGTAATTTAGCATGGTTATACACGGTAATTACAACGCGAAAGTGGTAAAATAAAATCTTGAATAAAAATTGTTTTTTAGTTACCTCCCCTACGTGTAAAGCTCATGATGAAAAATTGATTTTATTTCCATACATATAGCATTATATATGCCATTATTATTTATTATATATAGCGTGGGTTATTGTTGGATAAGTTTTTCTAAAATTGTTAAGCTTCTAAGTGCCAATTTTCGTTAGAGTCAATGTACTCCCCCCCACCCCACCCCCCTAATTACAAAAGTAGTATTTATTAGGGCAACTATTAAACATAAGATAACGACTAATAGTCGGCCACATGTATTTAAAATTTCGAATAACTTCCGTTCGTGCACGAGTCCGACTTGCGCTTACCCGTTTTTTTTTTTAAATTATATATTTTAATGGAAAATTTATATTTTAAGTTCATCAGGCGACAAAATAATATATGGATGACTATTAACGAGATACTTTAATACTTAACCTATGTGAGTTTAATTATATTTGCGATAAAATATACTAAACTGTCGATATTATGAATGACTAAAAATCTTAAATACTTCAAATGAGCAACTAATGGTAGGAATAAATTTTATCGAAAATAGCAACTAAAATTCAAAGTATCAGAATTAAATATATGGCAAGAATATAGGCATTTAGCCTAATATATGGCAAGAAAAATACTGAATGGACTAAACTAGATTCGTTCGATATCTACAAATTGAAGAGATGGCAGAATATCCGTTGACAAAATTTAATTTGGCGTCACGCACTAAAATTTCTAAAAATGCTGAATTGAGAAAACAAGAACAAGTTGACCGTCAAGTTGCTATGAGGATCAGTCGTAAAATCTTGTACAAGTAAAGTATCAGCCTGTTTTAAACCCATATAATGAAATCCTTTATCTGAAAGTCCAGAATAAGTACAGTAGGTAGTCAAATATCTGAATCCAAGCAAAATGACGGAGTAATTATTCAGTAAAGTAAAAATCAATACCCTGAGAAAACATTTATTTGTATTTTTTGAAAAGCAACTGGACTATTCTATGAAGACATGCGCATTATACACAGACATCGGTAAATTTTCCATAATTGGTTCCATCTATTGGACAGACAGGCCTATGGCCCAGCAGTGAGGACGCTGATGAGCTAATGATGATTATATAAAGAAGGATGCTCATTAACAGAATTTTAATTAAAGATTAACTTAATAGTCCAGTGTACACAGAGTACCCTCGGACCACATAGGCGAAGCGTTGGGTTACAGCTAGTTTATTATAATAATAATTCAATTTACAGTTAATTCTATTCTATTTAATCGGTAATTAAAGAGATAAAATAACTGACACCTGAAAACATTGTATAGCAAAAAACCCAGGAAGTCAGTTCATGACAAAAGTTTATAGAATGCGACATACATGTTATGTCAGGGTCATTACGCTACGCTGAATCACGTACAAATTTCTTTTGAAATCGCTAATCACATCGTACGACTTAAATTCGTTTTTTTACTACTACTATAATCTTATCTTTATTATCTTAGCATTTACCATCGGCACCATGAGGCATACTAGTTTAAAATTTTCATTATCACTACTCCTATGAAATTGACGTGTTTTTTTAGAATCAACTGTTAAAAAAATGGAAATCACTATGGTTTCCCACATGTTTGTTACAATTAAATAAAAACTCTTTTTAAAAATATAGAACCAACTTCAATCTTTAAAAAAGTAATAAATTATACTTATCTCAATAGCGACTTATTTCAATTACTAAATCATGCTTTTTAGTGATATTGATCTTTCTTATTTAATAGGTAACACTTAAAATATTAAATAGCTTATAGTGAATGTCTTAGAAAAGGGGATTTAGTTTATATACTCCATATATTTTTTTCCAATAATCTATACTCATAGTATAAAGGGAAAAGATTTGATTGATTGCTTGTTTGCATTGGGCAGGCTCCAAAACTATTCGTCCGATTTATAAAAGTCTTTAATCTAAGGGAAGCTGCATAATACGCGGAGACATAGGTTATAACTATAATTTGATTACGCAGGGCAAGCGGGAAAACAGCTAATTTGACAGAAATTGATTCCCAATTCAAGAAGAATTCAATGAATATACTTTCATTAAAAATTTACATAATCATTTAACATAGAAAATCCTCCTATCTGATATTGAATGAATTCGAAATATGTACGGAATCTTATATCCTATTTTCTTTTGTTATAAAAGGAAAACTACTGATTTGATTTCGTTAAATTTTAAATGGGACTTCGATCCACTGGGCTATCGAATAAATAAAAAATTAGATAATCTGTCGACATTTGGCGGAAATATCGGTGAACAAAGATAAAAAACATACATGCTGTCTAACATATATCCTCCTAACTTTTCGATTTTGATGTCGGTTAAAAACATGATCCATAACTTTGAATGGCTTAAAGCTTCTATTTGCCTTCAAAAACCGTCCAAGTGTGAGTCGGACTAGCGCACTAAGGGTTCCACTCTGTTTTGTTCAACCTGACAGCAAATCCGAAAGTGCAATTTTAAACTGTTTATGTGATAAATGAAACATGTCTCCTACTAAGAGAGCGAACGCCTAACTCTCTCACTATAAGTCTATATGACTATAGCCATAAAAATATTTTATTGATTTATTCATTGAATATGTTTAATAATCATCTATAATGTTCTTGTTTTATTATTTAGATAGTATCAATTATTTTTATTGTTATATTTTACTAAATACTTCAAGTTAGACTAAATTAAAATTATACAAACAAAGCTATATCGACAAGAAAAATAAACCAAAATGTTTGACAAATTATATAAAAAATAAAAAGAACATCCAATTCTTTTATAAAGAATATGAACATATTAATTGATAAAATCAATAAACGTTTATAGCTTTGACTAGAGTTAAACAGTTAGACGGGCGCTTGTGATATTCAAGTCACCCTTAATTAATTGTATTGACAAATAATATCTATCGTTTTATTTTTTAACTAGCTTATTCGCACGAACTCCCGCGTTCATCTGCGTAAATTATAACCTACGTCAACCATTCATGATGTATGTGCTTCTCGAAGATTAAAGATTTTCTTTAATCGGACTAGTAGTTTTGCAGCGTATTGTTTCATCATTACAATAGTAGTATATCATTATAATATTTAAAGAGTGGAACTTTGATATACTATCTAAAAAGTTGTCCGATTACGATATTTTTACAGGAATGCCCAAAAACGGATTGTATCGTGTTTAGGAATAATGTGCCTATATTATGTATGTATGTGAGCTTTTATTTCCACCACAACTTTTCAAAAACTTATCGCATATGAATAGAATCTTTACATCATCTCGAATGACATTGGCTTATACATTTATAAATAAGTTCAATATGGCGAATAGGTATATGTAAAAAATATGAAAATATTTATTTGCTTTATAGCAATATTTGTATAAAATTAAGACTTGATGAGTTCATTTAAAAAAAAATTAACTTGCATACATAATTAACTGAGCAACAAAAAAAAATCGCGACTGCCAAAATTGAACTAAAAAATAAAGCAAACAAATTGTATTATTTGGAATATTTGTATTCTAAGAGTTTTTGAGAATTTAGTTCCAAAATATAATCCAACTTTTTTATTTTTTAGTTCCAATATCATGTTTTTAAAATAATTTTTTAAGGGCATGAAAATCTCCAATATTAGCTCATTGAAATTTTAAATAAAATACTCATTGTAAAATACCCAGTATGGGTAAGAAATTATTGATCGCTTACTCACTAATCTGTTGAAAGAAACAGTGGTGATGGAGACAAAAGACACTATTGGGATTAAACCCAAAATATAGTTCTTGAATGAAAAACATACATATTTCAATGATAAATCTTTATTAAGAATATGCAAAAAAAATACAAAAAGTCCTAAATAAATAGCGTGATGTGATGATTTCTTCATATTATAACCCATTAGACCTAATTGTGTTTTACAACGTGGTCTGAGGCGTGTTCATTTTCTTTATGGTGTACCGAATCCATTGTCATCACATGTTCGGATTTGTCTATGGAAGCAATATGGCCCTTTCCGTGATGTGATTCTAGGAAGTCTTCCGAAACCTTGTGGTGTGTTTTTGCTGGCATGTGCTCAGCCCAGCCGGCGTCACGCATCAACTCATCCTCGTTGTTTCTATATGCTGGTGCCGAATAGCCATGTGCCTCGCTTAATACGCCAGCGACGACATTAGGTGCGCAACTTAACAACAACGGAACGTTACAACCGCCTACCCTCGCGTTCGGGAATAATCCAATGGCTGGACCTGGTGCAGCTATACCAGCTAAACCATGAGCTGATCCACCTGAGATGGCTATTCCGCCTGCTGGAAGGGCAGGAACACCATAGCTGCTACCAATGCTGCTTGTAATGACACCAGACAGGCCTGGAGCACCATGTACGGCTACGCTGACACCTGGAACTGCAACTGCTGGCTCGTAATAAGATCGCTTGTGATCATCAGCGTTGTGTTCCAATCCACGAAATTGTGGTAGATCACCAGACAGGTGGCCGAATGTTGGAGATTTCTTAACCCTCTCCAATTCTGCATCTTCAATGGGCAAAGCTATGGTAGTAGCGATTATCACTAATAAAACTGATGCAGACTTCATTGTGAGAATATGAGAGTCGAATGTGATGTGTGAAGGTTTTGAAAATCTCGATCTATTTATACAGAAATCGGACGCTTTGATAATAGACTAGTCTTAAATATTAAACGCATCTTATCTCTATTAAAATAAAATAAATCAACATATCTTCACGTTTTTTCTTACTCAGCCTTTTCCTAAACGTTTGCGTTCGATAAAACATTTTCACAATGTTAAATGTTTCAAAACATACATCATAAAAATAATTATATATTAATTATTGCAAAAGTTATGTGTTCAATAAATATAGTACTTATTAATTACATAATGAATATTATTTTAGGTATTTTTGTGATTCTTATGAATACATTGTTATGTATATAACTTTGTCGGTCTGTATATTAGATTTATTTTGAGATTTAACGACAAAATGTAAGTACGATATAGTTTATGGCTTTTCAAAAAAATTTTGGCATTGTTTCATTCATCTTTCGTGACAATGATGACGAATAATCTTACTAACAACTCTATGGACTTTGTTTGAAAATAAATTTATTATAATCGGAATCAGCAACTTTGCAAACCAAACAGAAAAGTCGTCCTTTGCTTTCTAAATAATCCGTGATTTGAGTTTTATTTGTCAATTTACGTTTTTATTTTATTATTGTATTTTTGACACTGACGGAAAAGTTAATTTATTGGTCGAACTATGGTTCGATTAGCCTTCTATGGAAGGCTCCTAAAAGTGCGGGGCCCCAAACGAGCGGGGCCCTCAAACGTGCGGGGCCCGTAGCGTTTGCTACGTTTGCACTGTACAGAATTATACCTATAATACCAAGAATACCAATAAACTGTTAAGCATCTGGCGGAATACAAAATGTTTTTGTCAATGTATGACTTCAGTGCATAACTTTATTATTATTATTAATGTTTTTAAACATTTTATAAAGACTTTGTGTTCTTATCAAAAGATTTTATTGCTTGTTTGTTTCCATTGAATAAGCTCCGAAACTAACTGGAGCGGTTTTAAAAACTCTTGTTCGTTAAGGATCCTACATTATCCCTGATGTACATAGGTGAATATATTCAAATAACGTTAAGTATGCTTACGTAAAAAAAAATGATACATGCTAGCGGTAGAGTAGTTGAGATTGAGTTATTAAATAGCCTGATTCATATATGGTGGTACATTTTTATTCCACTTGATTCAAAGTAACTGATTAATAAGGATGTTGCTTGGCAAAATAATAAAAAGATTAAACAACATCACATGCTACTCGTACAAATTTACTTCTCTGAAAATGATATTTCGTCTATACTCGGAACGCTAATAAGACTCCAAAGACTCCAAACAATCTTTTCGATTATTTATACTTTTCGATATTAACAGGTAGGACCTGACACTAACTCTGATACTAATTTAATCTTCATAGATATGATATTAACAAACTTATAAGAACCTTTCGAAATTTTCCGAATTTTCCATTCGGAGGCAAATAAAGGAAGCAACACTCAAACTATATTATCACCACCGGGAACCAAACCTGAGACCTCAGATGACGATATCTTTTTAGCGGTGTGCAAGCCACTCGTTGCAGAGATCTATACAAATAAACGAAGTAAATATATCAAGAGCATTATAATGAGGAACTCGATGGCGTAGTGGTTAACGCTTTCGGTCTACAATGCGGAAGTTAAGCAACTTTCGCAAGGACTGATTACGGGGTGGATGACCGAATATTGAGTATTCTGACCACTGTTCTTTGGATGGCAAGTTAAACCGTTGGTCTGGACTGCATCTACAGTCAATTACACCGAACTATCGGTACTGGACCAACGTGGTGAGTCATTCATAGATTTTTTTGATCCAGTGAAAATGCGTTACGTACTATTCTTTACGGATGACGGGACTACAGGAGCCTTATGGGACTCTCACCTGCTACCACCTACCCATGCCTACCCACTAAAACACTGGGCATATCCTTAATAGGGTATGGCACCCAGATACCCGGACATATGGATCGCCGGTACAGCCACCCCCGGATATTTATATCCTTTCCGATACTATTCCATTTCATCCATAGCTTACTATAATCATCTATATAGTGCACGATGCCAAATTCAGTTGTACATACAAAGTTTTTTTTTAATAAACTAATATCATGATAAAATATTTACTATCGTACTCCATGTTATTTATTATCTATCATCCTTCCGAGTCTATTAAACCGAAATAATTTTTCTATGTACACATATATATGGTAATGTATAATTGTATATATATGTTATAATAAGTGAATACGAGTATGTCGATCACAATATCGAGAAATAGTTATAGATCAATTAGTCTTACAATCGTCGATATAGTAATTATTTGGTGATATAAGATGATAAAATGAAAGCTTACTTATTAATAAAACCTAAAGCTTTATTAGAGATTCCTAATTATAAAACTATTTACAACTTTTACAATTATAAAGTTTTAACTATTTAGAGTGGGTGTTGTCTTCAGCTGGCTCCAGGTGTTCATTCGTGTGCTCTTCGACAGCTTCCTCATGTTCCAAATTTGGTTCTTCAGCGCCACGGTACGAGTTACCTATCACGGTCGCCGATGCCCCTGACACTCCAGCGCCCACTGGCAACGCAGCTCCCACCGGCACGGCAGCGCCATAACCGCCGTAACTCTTCACTAGACGACCGGGCACTATAGACGGCGAACAGCTCAGCAACAAGGGCACGTTACAACCACCAATGTTCGCGTTCGGGAACACACCATAAGCAGGCCCAGATGCCACACCCACACCGGCAGCTAATTGTCCTCCAAGTCCGCTCAGACCACCTAGACCTGCACCACCATGTATCACTGGAGCAGCACCATAACCACCGTATCTTGCCATCGGGACGTGCTCCGATGTGCCTTGTTCCATGTCAGATAAGTTCATGTTCTCTACATCTTCTGTGCGATAATGGGGACTGTAGGGATAACCATGACCGCCTCCGAAGCCAATGCCGCTGCCGCCGTAGCCGAACCCTCCATGTATGGGACCGGCAGCGAAGCCGCCTGCTGGTACAAGAGCGGGCAGCGCGCCTCCGCATGGTGCAGCATACGCTGGTCCATATTGTGAGCGCCTCCCTCGGTACTGCGGTTGAGGCATGAACATGATGTTTTCTTCCGCTCCATTATTGATAGCTGGCGCACCTGCCACCACTAATACTGCAGCCGAAAATGTGCTCACGAAAATAGCGACCTTCATATTACCGGTTTGATGCAACTATGGTGTGTTAATTCGACACCACATGCATTTATACATAAATATCATTGTACATTTCAGTCAGGAAAAGCAAATTATTACTTAGTTTGCAGTCTTTAGTCTTTGCATTTGACCGAGTAAATAATGCCAAGCCAGATTGTATGTTTTTTGATTAGCAAACGTTTTACAAATGTGCAAACACTTGCTTGACTTTCTTGATCATGACTAATCGTCTCAATAATTTAAATATAGTAGAAGCTTATTCTTATTGATATTTAAAAAATCTACTATGTCCCTGGCACTCTGCGCTGGGATTCGAACCAATGACCTTTCGCAATTCGGGCGACTGCTCTAACCACTTAGCTAAACAGGACCTAACAAGACTGACGAATTTTTCAAGCACTTGTTACTTTTTTCGCTACTACAGAGCGTATTTTCATCAAAGTTCAGGCAATCCACCCAAACGGCGGAAAGAAATATTTTTATAAATATTTAAACTTTCTATTATAAATCTAATTATTATTTTTAATCGATGTTGCATTCACAATACTATGCTGAAAAATTTATGTAGGTATATAGTAGAAGCAGATACGTTCCTTAAATATTCCTCGAATACAGAAAACGCGAATACGGGATTGCATTTAATATAGAAAAATAGGGGATAGGTTCCAAGATTAAAATAAATAAAATTGGGATGAAAAAAGATTATTGAAGAACTACCAATTAAAATTAATCTTTAATGTCAGCTTTAATTAAGGGTTTTTAAAGATCTTTAAATTCAGAGTCATAGCTTAGTAGCTCTATCATTCATAATACAGCTATTTTTAAGTATTTTATTAATAATAAAACGAAACAAAAATTACATACCCTGACACATGGCCAAAGTATTTAGAAGACGACGATGCTTTATTAAAAGACGCTTAATCCCTTTATGTGAATAAGGAGCTTCTACTGTAAAAACTTAACAAGTGTGATTTTATAAAACTCCACGACGTTAAAACCTGAGTTCCTGTCCCATCTGGGGCATTTATCTCTGTAAATGTATAGACGTTTATTTATGGATGTTTAGAGATATAAGCCTCATTAGTATGCGAGTATTAAGAACATTATATTGTATGCAATATTGTGTTATTGCTTGTTTGTCCAAAAAAAAAATCAAGCAACAAAAATTAATAAAATTTTAAATATATAATTTTTTAACATAAATAACACAAAATTAAAACATTCCATATATAACCAACTACAAAATTGACGAAAACAATATTATGTTACATAGATAGAAACCTAACCTGACACATGGCCATAATTCTTTCATAATTCTTATATAATTCTCGTCTAATATTTGTAAAAATTGAAGAAAAATATTACATATCTTTAAATCTACTTGACTGTTTTTGGAAAAGCATTTTAAAACTTTTATCATGATCATATTAAAACACTATCAGATTTCATTATCTCCAAAAATGTTATTAAATAAAGGAAAAACCTATTTTTATTCATTATTCAGAAATCACTAATAACAAATAATACAATGAGTATTTTGTATTATTTGTATTAGTCATTGTGCACAATAACATCAGACTGCGTAATGTACATATTAGAAATTAGTTGCAAAAATTTAAAAGCGGGCATACATCCAAAACACTGAACTTATCCGGTTTTAGACACTGCCAACTTTTTGGCCGTTTGACACTTCAAGGTATTTTAACGTCGCCAAAAGCAAATAAATTACGTTACGTGTAAACGATTTTAAAATATTCGATTATTTCAAAACCATGAACGTTGACAGCTATGATATGTCAAAATTGACAAAGTTCACTTCCTCGTAATTCTTAAAATTACCAAAACCAGATAATTTGCCCTTGTCTTTCTTATTTTGTTCTATAGATAAAGTTTTTTAAAATGACGATTTAGATGTTTAGAATCCTTACAAATGTGATGTTATTTTATTATTATTTATTACATAGTTGTAATTTAGACATATATCTTGTTGCAAAACCGGTTGAAATTAACCTTTGGTGTACGCGTCCACTTAAGTGTAACCAGGAACTATGAATACAAACAAAATTGTATTTAGTATTGGATATACGAATTAAAGATTTTGTTGGTGCAATTGTCAATATCAGATCAAAGATTTTCCCGATGTTTTCTTAAGTCATAGACGTCATAGGCCGGCCAGAGCGAGGGTCATCTTCAATACTCTCTCGTCCGCGTTTAAATTCAGCAACACATTTTTTCAGTCGTATACGACGGAGCAGATTCCCCCAATGTTGTTGACATATCTTCGTGAATCTCTTTTGGAGTTAGTAAACAGGTATTTGATGACAGCTCGTTGCTCAATTTTCTCCATTCTTTAAAAATGCTGCAAAGGTTCACAAAATTCAGTCTAATTTAAATACAGTTAATGCTATTTCGATAGAATTTTACAATTTGACAACCAGAGAGTAAACTAATCGAATGAGGTCAGTTACATTTAAATAGTTTAAGTATTTATGTGTTAGGCCGCGAACTTTTCAATCCACCCTCGTACATTACAAGGTTACCTTGAAGTTAAGACTATTCTAATGACCCAACTGTAGTATTTTCAGAATTTATGCTTTCCCAAACAAACAAAATTTCGTCTTTATAATATAAGTATATAATATGATTTGTCTTTTATTCAAAATAGCATACGAGGGTCAAACTGAAAGTTCTTAGAACTGGCCACTTATAAACAATATAATAAAAAAATAATTCTAAAATTTGAAAATATAACTCTTTGCCAATATTACTGAGTATATATTTCATTCATTTGTCATTTGTTTTACGATTTGGCGGCAAATTGAAAATTGTCTGTGTCACGTCATCATGAATTTAACACGAGAAAATTTTCGTGCAATGATTTTTTATGACTTTCGATGTCATTTAAGTCAACAAGAAAGTTATGATAGACTACGATTGGCCTTTCACGATGAAGCCCCATCTCGTGCGACTGTTTACAACTGGTTTAATGAGTTTAAACGTGGTCGCACTAATCTCACTGATGATTTACGTGAGGGACGGCCTTCTACGGCGACGACTGAAGATAACATCTGTGTTGTGCGGCGTATGATAGAGACTGACAAAAGAGTGACCTATCAACAGATTCGGACAAGCTTAGGCATCGGTATGAGTCAAGTGCACAAAATCCTCCACGAACATTTAGCGGTCAGGAAGCTTTGCGCCCGGTGGATACCTCATAATTTGACTGAGGCTCAAAAACTCCATCGTGTGGATTGGTGTCGTAAAATGATTGAAAGATTTAACGGAGGTGACTCAAATGCTGTGTTCGACATACTAACAGGTGACGAAAGCTGGATTTACTGTTATGATCCTAAAACCAAAAGACAATCTGCTCAGTGGGTGTTTCCTTTCGAGGAGTTGCCAACTAAAGTGAAGAGAGATCGAAGTGCGGGAAAAAAAATGGTGGCCTCGTTCTTTGGAAGGATAGGTCATTTTGCAACAATTGTGTTAGAGGATCAAAAAACAGTTTCTGCAGAATGGTACACTACCAATTGTTTGCCACTTGTCTTGGAAAAAGTTCGAGAGAAACGACCTCGCAGTAGGATCCTCCTTCACCACGACAACGCCTCGTCGCACACCGCCAAGCGAACGATCGACTATTTGGCGACATCAAACGTTGAATTACTGGGTCACCCGCCGTATAGCCCCGACCTCGCGCCTTGTGATTTTTATTTATTTCCAAAAATTAAAGAAAAACTTAAAGGAAAGCGGTTTATGAATGCTGAAGAAGCGGTGGCTGCGTATCGCGATGCCATTGAAGAGACCCCTAAGGACGAGTGGGCAAAGTGCTTTTCCCAGTGGTTCCATCGCATGCAGCGGTGTATTGACGTGAATGGACAATATTTTGAAAAGATATAATAAAACTAATAACTGGCTAATGTAATCAGTTTTTGATTTTCTAAGAACTTTCAGTTTGACCCTCGTATCACATTTTCATATAATATTTTGTACTATGATATATTTTATTTAAGTAATTTATCATCATCAGCATCCACTGATACAGTAAATCCCGCATCAGCAACAACCTTGATATAGACATATTACAAACACACAGAATATATAATAAGCAATTATAAAAAAAGTGTGATAAGTATCGAGAGCAAACACTTTTCAATTGCAGTACAGACTGCCCTATTTATTAAGTACTAGCTTTCGCCAGCGGCTTCGCCCGCGTGGTTCCTAGGGAAATGTTTAGTGTCTATTATCTAAGTCAGCTAATACCCTATTTATTTACCAAATTTCATCAAAATCGGTTTAGTAGTTTCGGCGTGAATGACATACAAACATCCAAACAAAGAAACTCACATTTATTGGATTAAAATCGGTACTCCCCAGCTCCAAGAATAAATAAGCCTTGTGTAGTTTATATGAAAGCAGGGACAAGCTGCTTACGTTCATAATATAAATAAGAAAAAAATATAGAAAAGTTTTGGTTATTTGAGTCAGCTAAAGTAGTTGGATACTATTTTTAATGAAAAATGCTTGCTTAAAATTTCCACCAGCCCCGAAACTCTGAAGTGAGACTCGAACTCACAACCTTTCACAATTCGGACGACTGCTCTAATCATTGAGCTAATTAATACGACTTTATTTAGTTCTTAAATAACGCAAAATGCTGTAAATATGTTATTTTAATGAACGTTTCTGTTTTTATTTTGAAAGTAATTAGCCTCAGATACAAAAAAGCTGCCGAAAGTCACCATTTCACGCGAACGAAATTGCGGGCACAGCTAATAAGGTAGAAAATTTTAATTATGAATACTTATAATTTAATGAATGAAATAATTTGAATAATCTTTGACATAGAGCAGTGATGATGTCTGGGTAAAAAAGAAAAGAAATCCTATTTAGTCAGACAGATAATAGAAAAATATCGCTTAAAAATGGCTTAAATAAGTCAGCGGGGGTTCGCGTGACGTCATGCGACAGTTCAACTCGTATATCGCTCTATATCGTATCGT